GGGGGGGGGGGGGTTCCAAAAATCGTTCTGTGGGACGGACCCAATTTAAGAAGAATGAACCATTTTAAAAAATTGAATAAGGCAAATTAAAAATTTTCTTGTAAAAAATGCTAGGTTTTTTGAGTATTATGTGTTTATTTTGGCGTTAAAGCTTGGAGATAATCTATTATGATATGGGGCGCTGATCCTGAGATCCACTATATATAAGTTCTGAGTTTTAATTGTAACGGCCTAATATATGCCTCAAAGTATATTATTATGCTTGTATCCCATGTTTGAAGTACGTAAGATATAAGGCATTTACCTGTTAAGTTTTATAAGCAGTCGAAAGAAAGGGGACGAGGGGCCTAATGCTTGTTTTTGTTTTAGACTGAACTGCTGTCCTCTTTAAACTTCAGGCATTACTTTGTATTTAGGTTTAATACTATGACTTGAATTTTTAAAATTCTGCAGTTTTGAATTACACTCAGTAGACATATAAACCTAAATAAATGATGCCATTAAATCCATCAACCCTATTATATTTTGTAACTTGCTTTCATACAGCTTTCTTTATACGTTTAAAATGTGGGGGGTGGCAACACTGCACAGTGATCACTTATTGAATCATTAGTTGAGTATTGATGTCAAAGATTATTAAAAAATTTAGGTCAACTAATTAATCTGTCTTAAATAATTATTCCACCCCCCCCCCCCGGCTCCCCTCCAACAAATTTTGTACATGACAACTTTTTTGCAACAAAATTATTGATATTTAATTTGAGTTATTTGAGGGTTAGGTTAAGATAAAACAATTTCTGGGCCAAGCGCTGAGGCTAGTCCAGGCTAGGGGGTAGCGCGGTGCAGCCACATATCCAATTAAGTCCGTAAAAGCATCCGTTAACAAATAACCAATATATTTATAATCAAAGAAAGCTTCCTTTGTTTCAGAAAAATTAAGTAGCATCATACTGACTGCCCTAAAGCAGCAGGAATCCAAGGAAGCAGAATGCCTGGAAGCAGTCCAAAAAAGAGCAGCAACCCTGCTGCTGATAAATCTGGCAGCTTCACATCTGATGGTAGCTTTCCGTCTCAATTTGATATTCAGGAACAGTTTATTTTTCAGTTATTTATCCATCTAGAACTTTTCATATTTAACTTCATATAAAAAATTTGCTCTTGGAAGTCATGATCTTATCCAATTTTCCCCTTAAATGTATTTTTCAGGTTTCTGTTTTTAAATCTTGTTTTAAAAAAAAAAATACGTTGGTTTCAGACTCTCGATGACATTTTGAAGGACTTACCTGATAATTCTGCCTCTAAAAATGTAAGTTGATTTAACAAGAAACAGAGGGGTCTTTATTTATATTTGATTATAAGCAGCGCATTATTTAAATCTGGATCCGCAATTTTTTATCTCCCTGGATAGGGATCCAAAAGGCTAAATAAAAAACAAGAAGTGTGTTCGCAAAAAAGTACCTTTCTAAGATTAGATTCATCTGAATTGTACTTGAGGGAAACTGATAAATTTTTTTCCCCTAAAATTTGAAAAATATCTGTGAATTGGATCCCTATACAACTGAAACGAAGTCATAAATTAAAGGATTTGCGTAATGATGAGCAAGGGGTAAAATTTTTCTCAAGAAATCAATTTTAGGGTTAGTAACTAAACTTTGGTAAATGATTGTGTTAAGGGGAAATCTTTTTTTTTTTTGGGGGGGGGGGGGAATATTAATATATATTTCCCTCTGAAGGACCTCATTATTCCCCTTACAAAAAAGTTTCTTGAAAAATCCCTCCTCCTCACTCTTTTCAAAAGTCATATTTTCCATCAGATGTAAGACATGTTTTATAATTTTGTTCAGGGTTTTATTCGTTGAATTAGGGTAAGAATAAGATCTTCCTTTAAAAGTATGAAAAAGGATAAAAAGCGTACTTTTTGATGTCATTTTTCTCTGTCAGTTCGTAGTAGAAATTCATATTTTCCGGTTCTGTAGCGTTTAGAGGACAGTTTAAATATCTGGAAATATCTGTAAATTATAATTTTCTAAAACCTATCAACCCCTGAGATGAGCCTGAATTCATCCTTCTCCTCTGCTGGTAATGTTCTTATAAAGTTAAACATAAACTACAGGATAATGGGGGGGAGGGGGGCACTTCTATTTATTACTAGTATCCAGGGGAAAAGTGTTTTGTAAATTACTTTTGATGTATGTAAGTTCAAACACACTTTTTAGCCGTAGTTGTTATTGTTGAAAACAAGAAATTGAAATAATTTTTTGTTCCCAGAAAATTTTACTCTTAGTTTCAAAAAAGTTTTTGATAAAATTAAGAAAATCTCATACTTTTACATCCAAACCACAGACTTTCGATAAAAAAAATTAAAAAGTTTTATGTGTTGACAGACGTGAACATTGATCCACTTCAGTTCAGTCCTCTTAACTTTGTTTCCTCAAAGGGACTGTAAGTGTAATTTCATGTGTAAGGGACTTTGAGTGTAATTTCAAGTGACCCTTCATGCAAAGATGGCAATGACCGATTTACAATGTTACCTTGGAAAGCTTTGTCAGATCAAGTATGAATTAGATATTTATGGTTTGGTTTCTTCAAACTGTTCATATTGTTTTCAGGCTTTTCTGCGAAAATGACTTACGCATTTCTTGCTTGTAAGAATCAGTGGAGAAATTATCAGAATTAAACACTTTAAAGTCAGATAAACGATGGTACCATACACATTTTTGATCCATGGTACTGTTAAAATCAGGCATTACCATCTTTGCATGGAGGACCACTTACAGTCTCTTTAATCCAGTGCTTCTCGCCGAATGTTCTTGCTCTCCCAGAAAATATTGGGTTCTAATGAAGATGATCTCTGCTCAGCAAATCTATCATTTCTATTCTTGAATTTGTTCCTGACCTTTACTCAATGCTCTACACACACACTGGTCATGTCAAGAATTATGCGGTATCTTTCAATGGAATCAGATTTTATCAATTTGATTGTTTTTCTAATGTTTTCGACTGTTATCTCTCAGGGTCAGGAAGACGCCCAAAGTTGATGTCTAAACGTAGGTTTCGAGAGAAAAGTAAATCTAAACTATCTTCTTCTTCATCATCATGCTTTTCCCAGGTAATACTAGACCAGGGGTAGATGTGTAAATGGTGGGGCACCGGGTTATATTTGTCCCCCCCCCCCCTCGAGTTGTTTCTTTCAGCAGGATATTTTTCTGTAGATTCAGATTCTGTAGATTTTGAAATTTTGAAGGGTATTTCATTCTTAACATGATGCATTTTTTATTTGGGCCTGAGGCCAAACTTAAAGAATTTGAGCCGTGGCTTAAATTTAAGCTGCGGCTTAAATATGGTTGGTTCACGTTAAAATTGTATCAAATGTTTCAAAATTTAGGCCAGCGCTTAATTTGAACCGGGTTTTGGCGGATATAAGCCGCGGCTCAAATTCTTTAAATTCGGCCTCTGGTCAGAAACTTGTTTGACCTTCTAGTGCTGAGTTAGCTTTGGAGTTAACATGAGGAATATAAGCATTCATTTATTCCAGGGCCTAGAATAGGAATAGAATTTAATGAATTTGAGGTAGGTTGCTGAACTACCTACTCTAGTTCAAAACCTGAATCACAGAGTCAAAATTAAAGATTCATAAGGTAGGTATTAGGCAGTTCAGCGACCTCTCTAATTCGTTAAATTCGACTTCAACTTCCTCTAAATTAAAATTGGCATTGAAAACCTGACCAAAATTTGCCTATCGTTTTGGGTTCGCTTTTATTTCGTTTTTTGCACGTTTCTTATCTCAGGGTTGAAATTTTGCAAATGTCAGTTTAGACTGAAGAATTTAATACAGAGCACAGGGGAGTCAAAGCTACCCAGTGTTATCTAAAATACAGGGCACATGAAGGTTGTCTTTTTATAGTTTTTACATTAAGGGAGGACCCTTCTGGGATGAGAAGGAAGAGGATAAGAGAAAAGAATGGGATGGAAGAGAAAACTCGCAGGAAGTAGAACTCAGTAGAGTACAGAGAAGAAGTGAAGAGGGAGCAACTGGTAAATCTGCTAAACCTGTTGGTTCCTGCAAGAAAGTAGAAGAACTTCAGAGTACTAAGAGCAAACTTGAACTGTGTGTTGGAAAGAAGAAAGACCAAGACAGCAACAGTAGGGGAAAGATTGACGAAAAAGACTTTGGATCAAAGAAAAGGAAAGATGGAGACACGGACAGAAATAAAGCAAATCGGAACAAAACTGAGAAAGTAAGGGATACTAGTAAAAGCAGGAAAAAACTTGATAGGCAAGGGAAAAGGAAAGGAAATAAAGAAAACATCTACTTAGCGAAGAAAAAAAGAAATGATGAACTTGGAAAGAAAAAAAACACGAGTTTACCTAAAGAAGTTGAACCCAGTCAAGATGATTTTTCAAGTTCAGAAGTATCTCATATGAATAAGACAAAAGTCGGTAGTCCTGTAGTCTTCAAGCCCAAGGATAGTTCTACTCCAGCCTCTGGACCTAATACTAGTCTCCTTCCGGGATCTATTCTTGGTTCAAGTCCTCCACTAGAAGAGGTCCTTATCTGGAAAAATTATAAAATACCGAAACAGGTGATGAATTACTGGATAAAATTGTTGTAACAATATTCATTATTGCAAAAATACCACAATGTTATATTTATACATTATTTATAGTTATTAATCAATAACAGATTAAGTTTGGTCCCTCAAAAAAATGTCCATTTATCAATGCATCAAATTTTTGTAACATATTAAATGTATTTAGAAGAAAGTAACAAGGAGATCTACGCAGGAGCCAATAATTAAGGTAATTTAAACAATTCAGTGAATGATTCCTATTAAAAAAGTGATAAAATGATAAATTTTTTATTTTTTCCAGACAAAGTTCAGAAGAGAATTTTTATGATTTCGATCTTGTGACCGTTTGAAACTTAATAACATATTTTAAAAAATATATCTCTTTAGGAAAATCAAGGTTTGGCTTCCAGTAATTCTGGAATACTTACTAAACCTATGAAACTAATTCAGTCCTCTGAGGAAACTAATAACTTCCCCTTTTTACCATGCACCGTTGGTTTGTCTCCAACCAAAGAAGCCATTGATGACTTTGCATCCTCCATTGATGATTTTACTCAAGATAACCTAACTCCTTGTAATATGACATTGAGAGAAGACGAAAACCAATCCTTACATCCAACTGACAACAATCATTCAAGCTTTCAGAAGCAAGGAGACTATGAGCATTCAAAGAAAACTAAACTGAAGCGGAAAAAGAGAGACAAAAATCAAGATTTGGTTCTTCAAGATGCTTCTAAAGATAATCCAGTTCAAGAAGAAAGTAACCTGGGGGGAGACATAACAGTACTATCAGATGAGGAGACAGAGAATGGCGGGACTGAAATGAGAATTGTTATAGACTCTGTTTACTCCCTTGCATCAAATTCTCCAAATGCTGACCAAGTAAACTTTAATCTAATCTTTCTTAAAGTTAAAGGGTTTATTATCCCCCAATGAGGAAACATTAAAGACGAGTGTACGGATTTTATTCTCTCCTTTTTTCATTCTTGGTTTCCCATAATTCTTAACTTTTCTTTGTCAAATCATTTTGTACACTAAATAAAAGACATAATTTTAAACCAAGTTTATAGCTTTCAAGCCATCGAAATTAACGAGTTTCAAGTCATCATTAGTTTCTCATACTTTGTGGGTAACCTAGTAATTTCATCTGACAGTCCTTATGATATATTTTCTGGGGCTATGCAAATTCGAAATGTGTTCTCAATATACCTTTTATATCTTATGGACAGGTATCTTAAACCTAGCACAATATAAGCAAAATAAAGTTCTACTTTACTTAATTATATTTTAATTTGAACCTTATTTGCTTAGTCAACACTGTTAATGAATGTCTAGTACATTTTTTATGTAAATTGGGCTTTAAACTGTCAAATGCATATAAAAATCTTAAACTTTTTGATGTATAAAGAATCAATGAATATATTTGAGCGGACATAAGTTGAACAAATCCTTTAAATAGCCTTGATGTTAAGTGGACAAATGTGATGGAACCAGTGGAGAGAGAAGGTTTTGTTGAAGCAGAGAGTCAAGATTCTGCTTCAGAACAAGTTCCAGTTGAAGCTCCTCCTGTGGAGGATGAAGGTTTACTGAACCTGGAAGGGTTGAGATTCATCCCCTTAAACTCTGAACTGAAAAGGCCAAGTGGAGCAAGTAAGAACCTTAAAATAAAATTGAAAACCGGAAATGATCTTTTTTATTTTAAGATATTGTCAACTTAAAGAAGAGAAACAGGAAGAGGAAATATCAGAAAGGAAATGCATTGCAGGTAAAGTATTAATTAAAAAATTATCTCACTTTTTGTTACTGGTTGAGGTTTTTTTTAATCACTCGAAAACTTATTAATTTTAGTCATTTTTGAATCCATAAGATTGTAACTGCATACTCAGTTCAATTACCTTACATAGCCGGTCACTCCCTTTAAATTTATAGCTGTGACAGTGTGTCTGACCTAGGTGATAATGGCACAAAGCACACATTTTTTTACATAATTATAATTAATATTAAATAGTAATAGCTGTAGTCCTTTGTCTAGAAGTTGTCATGTTAATCTAACCTAACCAAAAACTTGGGCTAGCTACTGCTAATGAATTTCTGTATCTGCTTATTTTGTAAGTTTGAAGATGTATATTGTATAAAGATGAAAAAGGTTGATATTTTATCGAGTATTTGGAACTACAGACATATTAAATTTAAATTTAATTTAAATTTGACTGCTAATTTATTAAAAAGTGCAAATTTTTAGTTTTGGCTTTGGATAAATATATATACGAACAATTAACAATCTTCTGTCCACGGTTTCAAATATATTTTACTTTTAGAGGAGGAACTGCTCTGATCAAGAACTGATTTACCAAGGTATGAAATTATAAAAATGTCATTTTACAACTATTTCTCTTGTAGTATTCATATAAAAATAGATTTAGGTTTTTTCTGTTTGTATAATTTTAAAAGAAATTAATTTGATATTTTTTTCACTGAATGAGTTAAGCGCATGGAAATTAGAACTTATAAGAACATGCTATGAAAATTGATTTACGAGGAAACTGACCTAAAGGTTATCCGAACAAATATAGTTTTAAAATAAATATCGATCGAGAAGTTATAACTCCTCATGAGTTTTTACGGATTAAAATAGACTCCCGATTACCTCTACCTCTAACCCCCATCGAACTCCATTTACCTTTAGCTTAACCTAAACTTACCTATTTTAAGATCTAATTCAATTTTAAGTCAGGCTGTGTCTTCAGATGAATAATCAAAATTATTCCACGGTTTTTCTTTCAATATTATAACAATAATTTTGAATATTACACTTTCTTCCTATGCATAATATACTAATATATCATATCTCGGTTCCATAGTAGTAAACCTATCGTGTAAGAATTCCCATTAGTACACAGTTCAGGAGAAAAAAATTCAATATTGTTTGCTTAGCATTTAAGAATTCTTTTTCTTACATTGTGGGTGTAGAATTTTCATTCTTTAACGCTCAACCTGTGTAAGAATGGAAATTATTACACGGTCTGAACGTGAAAGAATGAATATTCCTACACGCTCCGTACAAAAAGAATGGAAATTATTTCACTTGTTGAAGAATATTCATTCTTAGACGCTCCTTATATTGATCTTTTCAGTATAGATCAATATTGATATTAACTTAATTATTTTGTACTGACAACATGCACAGTGTACACTCACTCACCTTTTTCTCTTTTGATACATGCAAACATAATGCTCACTTACCTTTCTTTGTATTAAAACATGCAAACTTACCTTTTTTACTTTCTTAAAACAAGCTTTTCATTTTTAAAAGTATTGATACACACCTTAATTCAGAAATATCCAATTAAATCTTGACCTTAGCTTAGTCCTGACAGAGGAGTGGAAGGGGGGACCCCCTTCCCCCTGTGTTTAATTACCATATCTCATTAAGAATGATTATTGATTACATTGTAGGTTGGGACTTTCAAGTCAGGTGAAGGGAGATGGCAAAAGGAGCATCCCAGCTATGCCAAACTACGAGGAGATGATACTCAGAAAGGAAACCAGTGGCCAAATTTAAAGAATTAAAGCGGCGGTTTAAATTTAAGGTTGGTTCCACTTAAAATTGTATCAAATGTTTCAAGATTTAAGCCGGCGCTAAATTTAAACCGGGTTTTGGCGGATTTTGGCAGATTTAAACCGCGGCTCAAATTCTTTAAATTCCATCTCAGGTCAAAGGAGGACTGCAATTGTCTTATTACCAACACTGCAGGATCCCCAGTGCAGCTGAACAGTATAAGAATGAAGGGCAGAGGGAACAAAATTGCTTAAATCACCTTTTGTAAAGAAACTGGAAATGTTTCTGTAAACCCTCCTCTGTTTGATGAGCCACATGAGATGTTAGT